CTGTAATACAGAATTTTCGCTTACCAGACACTTAAAATCCCACATTCTGACTAAACATAGACCGATAAAGACAATTCCAGATTGTTGGATGCTTCTGGATGTCACAGATTTAACTTGCATGCTATGCTATTACCAAATAACTTGTCTTGGTAATCTACTGATCCATCTCAACAAAAAACATAATATATTTGTTTATACTGATGTCCCAAATCGGATTCTGCCGTTCAAATTTGACCCAGATGGTCTTAAATGTGGCGTGTGTCTGTATCCTGATCAATATTTCTCTAGTCTTTTTCGACATGTTCAAAGTCATTTTAGTCGGATTAATTTACCAGAATAAGTGCCAAGAACACAATAAGACGATAGTATTATTTTACGCTTGCGAATCCGACATAAGTTAGGTTGTGTGTTTGGTCTAGTCTGCCACTAAATCGGACAATATTAACTTGTATGACATTTGTGCGCAAAATCACAATCCAATAAAAAATAGTAGTTTTAGTAAAAAATGTTTTCGCCCATAGCTGTTTATTGTTACGCACATGTGAATGATTCACTGACAGAAACTTTTAGGTGCCTCATTCCATGGGCCGTTGAGCAAGCGCGTCTTGCGGCGTGCCATTTTATTCTGGCGCCCTAGGTATAAATACTCTGACGCTTAATAGTATCCCCGTTGTGCCATCTTCTCTAATCATGTAGGGTTCTTATTGCCGATAAAACAAATCATGCTGTTCTTAGACTATATATCTATGAATGAAGTAATGTAATTTATTATGTCTAACATGTGATTATACCTTTTTGTCTAGTCTTTGCGGTTGTCAAGACTGATTCTGTTACTTAAGGTGACGCTCCATATGTTCGTTGCGTTTGTCGTCGGAGCGCCGTTTTCCATAATTATATTTTTTATAACATATATCACACATTACGCCTTGGACGCGCGCAACGTTTCATTGGATTGAAGGACAAGCGACGAAGCAGTGGGTAGGGTGATACAGTACGTCGATTGACAGTCATCACATTTGTATCTAAGACGCAGTTGCGATATCGGGCGTCATCGCAACCCTTGTGAAGTACGCCCAATTTGCGTTGCTCCGTTGCGACAACGCGACGCAACCGACAAATGGAGCCTCGCTCCTAGATATCTGATTTCGTTATTCTTATTTTCTTTCACTTTTTTTTTCAATTTCTTATACAATATACACTTATTCTTATACTTTTATTGTCTAGTCGATATTTAAGTTCAAGAAGACTGATTCTTGATTGATTGTCTTTATGTATTTCCATTAATTTCCATGTAGGTATGTATTATGTATGTAGTCTCTTTTTGTGATATTAAATTTAAGTAATTGCTAAGGCAACCTTAATAAGTACCTAATTATGATTAAGGACACTGAAATAAATGTTTAATATTTAATTCAATGTTTAATTCCTTATATCTTTTATTTCGGATAATCGTCCTGGGCCCGATAAAAACAATAATGTCTTTGATTTTATATCAACCGACAGCAATGTTGCCTAATTCATCCGCTTAAGAAGTTTTCACAACGCAGAAATCTTAAAATATTGCATAAAAACAAGTCTTTTTGGACAATACTGATATACTGCGGGTGGTACATTGTACAGTAGCATTAAGTGCCGTAATGTGCACCTTTCCTACCCCTTCGGGGATAAATGATGAATGTGACACCTAAAGTTTACGTACATAAGCGTTAGGTGTAAGAGATCATAAGTGCAGTGCCTAAATACGTAAATAACTTAATAATTTTCTTTATAGATACAATAAAGAAGGAACAAGAGAATCAGGAAACCACAACGAATTTTGGACAGCAGATCAAAATTGAAGATGTTCGACCAAAAGTAGAACTCGCTGAAGTTAATGTCAAGAAGACACGCAAGCAGCGTATAAAGCGCCTTCTTCAAAAGTATTTGGATAATCTGAAGATTATTCTGGAATGTTCCAATGCTACGATGATCCTGCGACATGGAGACAAAGGGTACTTTTGCTGCTATTGCCCAGAAGCATTTGAAAAGCCCGGCTTTTTGAAAGAACACACCCTGGCGCAGCACAAAAATGAAGAAATATTCTATGGGAACATTGTAGCTAACGGACCGTCAAGATTCTTAGTCAAACTTGACATTACAAACCTCAAATGTTTACTGTGCAATGCAGATATAGATTCCCTCGAAAATCTCTTCAGCCACCTCAAAGATAAGCATCAAAAGAACTTCCACACGGACATTAAAGATCAAATATTCCCTTTCAAGTTTGATTCTGATCAACTCAAATGTTGTATGTGCACGAACAACGTGGTCTTTCTCACGTTCAGAGCGGTACACGAGCATATGCATAAGCACTACAGACATTTCATTTGCAATGTGTGTGATGCTGGCTTCATCAATAATATCAGCCTGTCTCGACACAGCGTGACTCACACGAAAGGCTCTTACAAATGCCGTCACTGCACTTCAGTATTCAACAATGTCTTCAAAAGACGGAATCACGAAATGAGGACTCATACTAATTCTGGAAAGCCCTATGTTTGCCATTTTTGCAACCAAACCTTTAAGGAGTATATAGCGAAAGAACTGCATTTGTCCAAAATTCATAACGTGGCTAGGAAGTATGACTGTACTGCGTGCGACAGGACTTTCCCTACGCACAGTCTTCTGAAAGTCCATGTAAGGAGATTCCATCTTATGGAGAAGACCTGCAAGTGCACGGAATGTGATCAAGCGTTCTTTAGAGACGGTGACCTCAAGAAACACATGCTTACGCACACAGGAGTTAAGGAATTTAAATGCGAAATTTGTTCCAAATTTTACGCCAAAAGGTCCACTCTAAATGGGCACATGAGGATACATAATAATGACAAGAGATTTAAATGTAACTTGTGTGGGCAGGCGTTCGTTCAGAAACCTAGTTTGACGTGGCATATGAAGTCCAAACATTCTACGTCGTCGTCGGAATAAAGACGAAAAAATAGAAACACTTAAGTATCCTTAAATCTCGCGACGGGCTTCACGTTTCCAATAACTCGACACTATGTGTTATTCGGTTCATAAATTCTACAGGCCGTGGCCGTGAGTAATAGACTTGCCTGTGTCAGGTTCGTCGACGGCAAGCTAAGCGTTTATAAATAAAAGTGTATACAAAATCTCAGCTCAATCGGTTGAAGATATTTATATTAAAATTTAGTTACAAGATTCCACTTCACATATATTCATACTTTAGACATACATTGCAATTTGCAAGTTAAAAACAATGTTATAAGATTCGATCGTTTCTGTTAGATTCCACTTAGTAGATAATTTATTGTACATCGGAACTTAAGTAGGTATATATACAATGCGCGAACAATGAATGCTTTTTTCATAGCAGTAACGATAATATAAAATAAAATCTTACCATGGTTCGTGACGGTATTGTACTACTTATATCTATAATACAATTATTATTTTTCTCTATTGGACTAAGAGCCAGGTCTCACAATATATCTGATTACGTTTCTGTTAGTTCAATCAACAGATTAATTAGAAGCATTTTCTATACAATGTTGCATGTTAAAATGTGCCTAAAATCCTATGTTATTTGTTATTGTAGTTGAATAGTACTATGTGTAATTTTTTTTTTTTTTTTGAGAGAATCATCTAATGAATTCTTCCGCCTGGGTGAGGCGGGAGGGAGTGTCAAACTCTTACTGACTAAAACCACCCCGTTCCTACTCCTGCACTTTGAGCCGACAATCCGTTAAGTCCTCCGCGGCTCAATACTGGCATCAACCTTATCTGTTGTGTTCTGGTGGCTATATGCCGCGAGACCATATGTCCGCGATAATTTCGAGGTTATTATACCTACAGTCTCTTTTTTGTGCCTTTAGGCTTAATTCATTCTGTCTCCTGCAGTAATTTACCAAGGGAAGTGGAAACTATAGCTTTTTTTCTTCTCCTCTTATAATATCTTCTGATTCACTTCGTTGCGGGAACCAAGGCAGTTATTCATGTCACTGGGACTCGCCGGACTTCAGTGTTCCGATGTTTTCATGGTTGTATCTACTGTAGATCCTGGCTTACAGGAGTTGCAGCGGTTTTGAGAGATTATAGCGGCCTTGTCCTATTAAAAAAAACCTACATATAAACAGTCCTCTTGAATAGCTCTCGCCCGAATACTGAAATGGTACTCAATTTTAACTTGTACTTAATTATCGTGCCATCTCTGTCATTTTACAAAAAAATTGTAGAGACAGAACTATACTTACGCGCCGCTTAAATAAAGTAGCGTTTCAATATTCGGGCGTCTGTCTATTAAAAAACCCTTTTTAGAAGTTTTGGAGATATACACGCAGACGAAAGCTACTTTATTTTATACTATGTAGTGGTTCAAGTGGTTGTATAAACATTGATGTTTTCGTCATTGCAATCATAAATCAGAACCAATGTTTGTAAAATCTAAAATATTATATTAATTATAATTGAACAATTTATTTGTACAAGTTATTATATGGAAAATATAATTATTATTATTATCTTAAAGTGCTTTTTTATTTATTAGTGGCCCCAGTTTGACACGGTTCTGCAAATTTTTATTTTTTTGATGTACTTGTTATTTTTTTCGACTCCTCTACATAATAGGGTTAGCCACCATCTTGATGCTTGACACGTGTGTTGAAGATAGGGCTCATTACACTTTATCAGAGAGTATCGTTGCCAAGTCAGTTTAATTGAAGCGCTCCAAACCAGCAATTAACAAATGTCGTTTTACTTATTTCATAACGACCCCTCGCGCTTACAGCTTTTTCATATTGTTTCCGTACCAGAAGCGCCGTGCTGTGTCCGTGCCATCTATGTGTGCAATGTCCTTTTGTCGGGTCTAACTACACCCGCGGAAAAAGTAGGGGTAATGACAAACGTTTTTTTATTTTGACGATGCTGTAATCTGTAGTTCTTGATGTTTAATTAAACTATACCAAATATACCATTTCAATGACCGTTCCTTTTCTTTATAGGTGGACGACTAAGTACACTTCTGGAACTGGAAAGTAAAAACTACACTGATGAAACAGGGAAACCAAATGTAAAACAACGCAAAAAGATAGGACCAAGGATAGAACTAGTTGAACATAGAAATGCTATAAGGGAGATACTCCTCAACTGCAATGCTACGCCTATCAGAAAGTTTGCAGGAATTGGCTATACCTGCTGTTACTGCAAAGCTCAATTCCCGAACCCAGCAGATCTCAAAACACATACTCTTGACACCCATAAGGACATTGAAGAAGCTAATTTTATGAAGACCATGATCATGTCTAATTACGTCGTCAAATTAGACATAACAGGACTGAAATGTAATGTTTGCAATAAGGAAATCAATACACTGGACGAGTTTGTCGATCATTGCCAAAAAATACACCAGAGTAATATCTGCAAAGATCATTTAAGTCATGTTCTTCCATTCAAATTCGACAGTGAAGGACTTCGATGCATGATTTGCTTAAATCCTTTTGATAGTTTTCGGAATCTCATCAAACACATGCATGTCCACTACAGGAATTACATTTGTCCCATATGTGACGCCGGATTCGTGAACAAATACGCACTGTTTTATCATACAGAAACTCACGAAGGTGCAGCGTTTATTTGTGATTACTGCCCCAAAATTTACACTACACATCTCAAAAAACGTATGCACGAGAAATCAGAACACAGTGATGAGGACAAACTAAACAAATGTCCCATGTGTGAGGAAACTTTTCAAGATTATGTCAAGAAGAGAGTTCATCTTACTTCTGTACACGGGATCGTGGCTTCAGCGACAGCTTGTCAAGCTTGCGACAAAGTTGTTACTTCGAAGAAGGCTTTGGTCGTTCACATGAGGAGAGTGCACTTACTGGAGAAGCCGCATAGATGTGACATCTGCGATAAAAAATTCTATTCGACGTCTTGCCTGAAAAATCATATGATTAAACACACCGGCTCGAAGGAGTTTCAATGTAACATCTGCTTGAGGCTGTACGGAAGGAAAAAGTCGTTGAATGCTCATTTGAAGACTCACGATGAAGGGACCCATGTAAAATGCGAACACTGTGGACAAAAATTTATGCAGAGATATTCTTTGAAGTGTCATATCAAGTCGAAACATGCAAACTTCGTTTAAAAACGGAGATTTCTCTTTTTCTGTTATTTTTATTGAAAGCGATCCTAGTCAAGTTTTTCCTAAAATTACGTTAGGAATTTTAGAGATAATTGTTGTAAAAGTACAGTATATCATTCATTTATTGTATGTAGGTACTAATAAATGTTAAAATTTAAGCTAAAGTTAAATATATGTTACAAACTATAATTTGTTATAGATTAGGATCGCATGCCCCATTAAAATTAAGATTATACGTATACATTACTTATGTAACTATTTATTTCTAAATCAATGTCTACCTAAAATGTTAACTTTTACTTAGCTAGGATAGGTATCTGAAACATTTCTAATTTTAGGGTCGATTTTTCAGTAATCAGTTACCTAATTCTAAACCGTAGAATAAAATTGACATTTGACAGTTTTTAGTCTGGAATAATTGTCAAATATTCAAAGTTTCATCAGTTAAAATTAATATGGTTGGAAAAATGGGTTCTTAATCTGGTAATAAACTGTCTACTAAGACCGAATCATTCCATTGCTTTATTTTAAAAGAAGAAAAAATTTACTTAATTTAAATCGACTAAGTAGTTATAAGAGCCTGTCGGGACAGTGACACAGAATGCGCACGTTCGTTATTTCGCGATGTGGGCTACTGTATTTTACCACCACCAGATGGAGCTAGTGTGTAACTCTTGTTTCGTCCAATAGGGAATTAGTGTCACATCATTAGATGTTCACTATTTGTCAGCTACAGTGATTGCATAAAACTTCTTGCTACGGTGACCAAAAAAACGCTAGCCTCCGTTCTATAACACATTGAGTCTGTTCACGCATCAACCGCGTAATCATGTGAACTGGTGTCACCGACGGCTGAGGCGCGGGCGCGGGGTAGAAGACCTGTGCGCGGGAGTGGCGAGCAGCCCTGGTGGGGCCACTTCACCAGCAGTCGGCTTGACCAACACTTGTGTCCTTACTAACGTTAACGTCTCTGTATTGCTACTTTCTTTTTGTTACTTTGTTATATAAGTTTAAACCTAAAATACAGTCCACGTTATTTCTGGATCTCCCTGAGCTCCTGAACAGGGACTTATGAAAGTGTCCGCATAGGTGATCAAAATTTGCGCGAAAACCGTGACACTGAGAAATAAATCTACGTAATTTTTTTTCGCTGGACGGACAGGCTCTATAATAGTTGCTGACGTCTCTTATTCTTATTAGATTATAATATGTTATCTAGTTAAGTAAAATTTCTTATATAAGTACCGTACCTATCATTTATTTTAAAATATTTTGTACCAACCTAAGTTAAAGTGATATTTGATTGTACCTACACTATATTTTACAGAAATTAAACTACATAATAATATCGTTATTGCTATCATTGACATTACAAACACATCAATGACACCAGCCCTTTACCTACACTATTTTAATACTATTCATCTAATTCGTTGCCATAAGAAGGTAACAGACAAAGTTCCTTCGACCCTTGAAAGAAACAATTCTTAATATAAGGCCAAATTCTCCCAACCCAATAAATAAAACTATTGGTGCCAAATGTAACAGTGAATGAGTAAGTTACAATATAACCGTCCTTTTCTTTATAGGTGAAGTACAACAGCAAGCTGGAACAATCAAAATAAGCAATATCAAATCAGAAAAAAAGGATGCAAGCTTACCAAGGAAAATAACTAAAACGATTATCGAAACCACTGAAATAGGTAAACATAGGACCAATGTGACTGAAGTCATGCGATGGTCTAACGCCACGCCCATCAGAAACCATGGAGATTTGGGATACTTGTGTTCTTATTGCTCCAAACAATATCCCGAACCAGCCAACCTGAAGAAGCATACTAAAGAAACACACAAAGATGTTTCCGCTGCTTACTTCATTAAAAACCTTAGCTTGTATCGATATATCGTCAAAATGGACATCACTGATTTAGAATGCTCAATATGTGAATTGAAAATTGACACCACAGAACAGTTATTGCAGCACTTAAAAGACAAACATAACAAAAACGTTTATTTTGACATCAAAAATCATATAATACCGTTCAAATTCAATTCAAAAGCTCTGGACTGTTTCATTTGCAAAAACGTTTTTTATAAATTCAAGCAGTTATTGGTACATATGAGTATTCATTACAGAAATTTCGTGTGTAAAGTATGTGATGTCGGATTCGTAAATTATTTGAGTTACAAATATCACACTGCGACACATGAAAAAGGAGTTTATCAATGCAAACAGTGTCAGACGGAATTTGAAACAGTTATCAAGTTAAAGATACACGAGAAGCAAAAACATGGAAACAAGAAGACCCATAGATGTGGTCATTGCGCCAAAACTTTTACAGATTATAGGCAAAAGGAAAAACATTTAGGGTTGGTACATGGGAAGAATCATAAACTGAAATGTTCAGCTTGTGACAAAGTGTTCAAGGCGAGCAAACATTTGAACATCCACGTGAGAAGGGAGCATTTGTTGGAGCGGGATAATCCTTGCAAGTTGTGCTTCATGAGGTTCTTTTCTAAATCAGAGTTAAAGGAGCACATGACCAAACATTCGAATGTGAAAGCGTATAAATGCGATCAATGCTCCAAGTCGTTTACGAGAGCGAAATGTTTGAAGGAACACATGAGAATTCATAACAATGATAAGCGGTTCAAATGTGAGGTTTGTAGTCAGGCGTATGTGCAAAAATGTGCTTGGAGATATCATATGAAGGCTAAACATGGGGAGATGGTTTGAAATTAAATATTTGATTGTTTTTAACGAATGCTATGTTGATTTCTAAAATTGTAATGTAACTTAATTTGTGGTTACCGTGTTAACCAAGTTACATAACCAAAAATAGTACGGTGGCCATCCCAGTCAATCTACCCTTTTCTGTCACATCTCTCAATTACATCTTCAACTTTATTGCATTGACATAAAGTCGAAAATCCAATTAATGAATTTGACAGATTCGAGTAGGTTTATCTGCTGGCCACTGTACATTAGTTTTGACATGACTTGGCGGCTAGCCAGGGCCTTGGGCGAAACACCACTTTAGTGCTTGTCTACAGAGAGAGTAGAAATCAAAATGTATGGGGATGCCACTGACAAGTGTCAAAATTGACATCAATTTCATATAATTTGGTTTTCTATTCTACATGTAGACAAGCGCTAAATGGCATTTGGCTACAGCTGCAGGTGCCACAGCCAAGTTTCAAGAGTAGTCCGGTCAATTTAGACATTCGAAGTTACATAAAGTCCCAACTAACTGAAAATCAGTAAAATTGTTCAAAACATAATTAAAACATGTTCAAAACATAATTAACTATGTTTAAAAGTGCCCCATCATTCCTGTGTATGGTAAAAAAAAATTCAAGGTCAAAGGTAAAAAAATGAGTTTTATCATGTATTGCTAAATGTTGCAAGAAGTCGCGGAGAACCTAACGGGTAACCGGGGCTCCGACTCGACGTGCAGGAGAAGGAACGGGGTGGTTTTTAGTCAGTAAGAGTCTGACACTCCCTCCCGCCTCACCCAGGCGGGAGCAGTCGTTCAATGATTTTCCCCCCTTAAAAAAAAAATGTTGCTAGAAAGTTGGACTGTTTTGTTCTTTGGCATGCACAAATTGACAAGGCCGGTCGTGCTCTAATATTGAATCACAAACAATGGAGGATAAGTTTGATTCCGACGAAGTTGCTGACTGATTTTCAGCTTGTTGGGACTTTATGTGACTTCACTCTCATTTTCAACCAAAAAAAGGAGGAGGTTATCAATTCGACTGTGTTTGTTTTTATGTTTGGGACACCGACGTCTCACTTATCAGTGGGTGTGTAAGCTATAAGCTATTTTGTTTTAGTATTTTACTTTTTGTTTATTTCTGAGTTTTGAAGTCGGTTTTTTTAAACGCAGTTTTTTATTTTTATTTGGTCTAAATTGTCCGGACTACAGAATGTATCTGGCTTATGTTTCAACGTCCTCCGGTAGGTACATAATAAGATCATTCGAATGTAATTTTTCTTTGTTTTACACGCACTAGAATTTTCTCTTGTGTTGTTTCTCTTGTCTCTTCTCTTTGTGCGTTTACAAATACTTGCACTCAAAAAATAACAACAATAGGGTAGTTTCCTTAATTATATTTTAATGTCCGTCTGGTACATTAATTTGAAACTTTAGACACGTATTTTTTCTTTTTTCATAAAATTAAATACTTTCGACCATTAAACTGTCAAACACCAAGCGGTCACCGGTGACCGCAACCTATTGTTCTATAATTGTGTCTGCAAAACCGGTACCTACTCGACGAGTTAATTTGAAATATCGTGTGACGTCACAGCGTGCCACATTTTGTAGCACGTTATGACGTAACGACCTCCCACTCCTAAACTTAGCGCCATTTTATCTAAGTATAGCAACTTAATACGAGAACATAAAAATAATACGTGTCTAATATTTTTTCATTATCTAACTGACGGACTAATTAGATTTTTAATTTGGTACCCTGCATTGTCCTAATACTCAAAGGCCACTCAATTTTAATTCGCGCTTAAGTATAGTTCTATCTCTACAAATTCTTTGTAGAATGACAGAGATGGCACGATATTTAAGTGCAAGTTAAAATTGAGTAGCTTTTCAGTATACGGTCGTTGTTACCTAAACTGTTGATCCAATGTAGGTAACTATTGATATAGATTAATCTGTTGTCTAGCTCTAAGCCAAATGAACATTAATGTGCTTAGTATTAAGATCCAAATTGTTATAAGTACTTTTCGAAATAAAACGATTTACGTGTCATTTTGGATTTTTATTTACTAAAATCTAGTTCTACTCATAATTCCAACAAATAGGTCGAATTAAAAGTAATGTTCATCTTATGTGGTAGGGGCCGAATTTTTTTTTCTCTTTGGCAACTGAGACTACAAAACGAAGTTGTCAACTACACCGTTAGTGTCGAGTGAAGAGCCGATTATCATCAGTAAAGTTAATGCATAACTACAATAATATTGATATTTGACAGTTTAGCAGGAAGAATTGTCAAATAGGTATTCAGTTTCGTTTTTTTTTTCTTTATTGGCAACCAAGTCTCCGATACAATGTTGTTATTCCTCAGTTAAATTTATCAGGCGGTGGAAAATCGACGCTAAATTAAAAAATATATAAAACATGTCATTGATGCTTATTAAGTACTTACTGACTAACGGATAAGCAGCCAAATGCCATTTAGCGCTTGTCTACATGTAGAATAGAAAACCAAATTATATGGGATTGACGTAAATTTTGACACTTGTCAGTGTCATCCCCATACATTTTGATGTCTACTCTCTCTGTAGACAAGCGCTAAAGTGTGTGTTGTTTGTCTAAAGGCCCAGAAATGATTGTGCAAAAAGCATTTTAAAGCTATATTTACTCCGTACAACACATGCCTACAGTACTTATATTAGGATACACGAAAAATGACAGTGACCAAGAACTATGTGTGCCTACATCACAAATTTTAAAACACAATTATGCTATATTAGCTTTTACCTGGAACTTTGTCTGCGTGATTTTTCCATGAAAGATAGCCTATATCCTCCAATCCACAAACATTATCTATGCAAAGATTTTACGAAGATTGATTTAGCAAAAAGAGGTAACACACAAACTTTCACATTTATTATGTTTGGGATAATAAGCTAGTTTTTAAAACGAGTTTACTAAGAGAACAGTGGAATAATGCAACATTTCTCTTTGTAGGTCAACGAGGCAGAACTAGGATAATCAAAATTGAAAAACCCACAAATCCAACGGTACAACTGAAGTTCGTCTCAAAGCTTAGAATTAACCCAGATATGTTAGCAAAGGGCACTGATACAGAAACAATGAAGAATAAAGTTAATGTAGAAAATATACTTCTCAACTCTAACGCGAACCCGATCAGGTGCAAAGATAGCCACGGTTACGGGTGCGCATTTTGTCCAAAACAATTTCAAGACACGACTGTACTAAAGAGACACTTCCTACAAGAACATAACAACGATAAACTCATAAAATACATGAGCGCTAAACTCTTTAAACAAGTTATTAAGCTCGACATCACGTACTTAAACTGCGCAATCTGTGACACAGACATCACCCACCTCGATGATCTCATATCTCATTTGAAGAGCGAACACAACAAACCAATGTACCTCGATGTTAAAAGCCAAATTCTTCCTTTCCGATTTGACACACCACAACTCAAGTGTGCAATTTGTTCCACCGAATTCGTTGCATTCAAACTTTTACAAGAACATATGAATATGCATTTCGGTAATTATATTTGTGAGATATGTGGCGCTGGATTCGTTACTGATAGACTAAAAATAAGCCATGTTAGAAGACATGCCAGCGGTGAATACAAATGCAAGCAATGCGATAAAACGTTTACAAACGACACGAGAAGGCGGGAACATGAGAAAAGGACTCATTTAGGTATTAGTAAAAGGAACAAATGTAACTATTGCGCGGAAAAATTTGTAGATTATTGGAAGAAAGTCAATCATATGGTGCAAGAACATGGGATGCCTCCCGTGGTGTTGAAATGTTCGGCGTGTGACAGGACGTTTAGTAACCAGAGGGCG